AAGGGGCAAAGGTGATTGCACACATCACCAAATACATGGGGAGCATGGAGAAATGGGGGCAGCTGGGGAAGCTTAGCCAGTACGATGGCCAGCGGTGACCTGATGGGCTGAGCCCGCTGGTCCACAGAAGGATCAACAGGTATGTAAGAGTCCAGGCAGGATCCTCAGCTCTTTAACCCAGTGGTGGGTGATGCCAGTCACTTGATCCTCTCTGACCCAACACACTCCCTTATAAAATGGAAATACTCTTCCTTCTAACAACTCTTCCAGGTTGGGCGTTGGGGACACGTACACACCCACCCACACCCACACAACATTAAATCTGGAAGATTTATCTCTCATCCCCCGAAAATGCAGGAAACATCAGTTCTCAGGGCTCAGGGTTTCACATTGATTTTTAATCTCCTTTTTCTTTTTACAGTGTTCTAGTTAAAAAGGCAATGAGAATTCATTGCAGGCCTGTCTATACTTCAAGTACACAAGGCACTTTTATTTATAATTATTTGTTAAATATTAAATTTACATGTAAGCACTTTGGGAGGCTGAGTTGGGAGATTCGCTTGAGGCCAGGAGTTCAAGACCAGCCTAAGCAAGAGCAACAAAACAAAAAAATAGAAAAATTAGCCAGGCATGGTGGCCTGCAGTCCTGGCTACTGGGGAGGCTGAGGCAGGAGGATCATTTGAACCCAGGAGTTTGAGGTTGCAGTGAGCTATGATGATGCCACTGCACTCTACCCCAGGTGACAGAGTGAGACCATGCCTAAAAAAAAAAATTATATATGAAAATTCTGTTAACATTTCAAGCATTGACATAAGTCACTCTCCTGCCATCCTTTCATTATAAGGTGATTTTGATGACTGTTAAACAAGAGAAGATCAGATAAGATTTGGATAGACTTCAAGTTCACAGGCTCCACGCTCACAGGTAAGTCCACTTTCATGAACAACCAGAAATGAGACTCCAGGGGGGAATGTGCTCTGAGATTAGTTGTCCTTGGGTTGGTTAAAGATACTTACCAAATGACGGATATAAAATAATTCTATGGTCCCTATTACGCAGAATGATTTAAAACTGATTTTTGTTTACTAGTTTTTTTTTTCTATTCAGTTTATCCCTTGGTTTTAGAAGTAAAACGGCCTTGCAAAGAGAAAGCTCTCCATAAAGAAATTTGCCAATCTGGATAGAATATGACTGTAAAAATTAATATCACTGAACATATAATGGGAAACCTCACAAAAAGATAAATTAGGAAAGAAATATCTCATTTGTCTATTTGTTCATCACATGTTCTAATGTGAAGGGATCCAGGAAAAGGAGGGAGAAGAAACCCACGTGCTAAAATCAGGAGAAAATCAGCAGCCCGCGAGGAAGTTTTTACACACGCCCAGACGTTTCATCACAGGTCTCCCTCAACACTCACCAACAGTCAGACCACGTTTCTCCAGGCAGCAGTCAGTTCCAGAAGTTAAAGGATTTCTCAAAAGGTCAGAGTTGTGGACACATTGCTCAAAACAAACAGAAGAATGTAGAAATCAGAGGAAAAGCAGACAGAGGCATTAGGGCTGTGTAAGGCGTGTGCCAGGAGTTATCCCACCAGGACCTGTGAGCAAGTCATCGCTACCCCACTGGGGAGGGAATAAAAGAAGCTGCTTAAATATGAGAGCTGGCGTGTCGCTTCCCTCCCTGCCCTATGTTGGCCAGAACCTGATACTCTTTCTCAGAGGGTCATGGAAATGTAACCAAAAAAAAGTCAGGAATGGGGGAAACCTCGGCACTCCTACTGCCCAACCCAAATCTTGGAATTCCCCAGGGATGGGCCCTCAAAGTGCTGTCAAGTCTTCCATCTTAACCAAAATCTTGGCAGCCAAGGAACCTACCAAGCTGAAGCCAAAGAAGCTCTGTGGCAAATGTTTTAAAACTGAAGCCTGCCCAAAAAGGACAGACCCAGAAAAAAAGGAATGAACTCTTGTTCCATACCTGGAAGGATGACTCTAAGTTACAAAGCAAAGCAGAGCTACGTCCAAGTTAAAGGCCAGACAGAACCAGGCTGACTGGGTGTCTAGGAGGAGGAGCTGAAGGGTGTGGAGAACTGTTATGGCAGAGAATGATCCCTTTCCCCCTGCTTAGCTGGAGTCCAACAGCCACAGACATTCCAGCAGCTGGGCGTTTCCTGGGGTAACACAGGGCTTCTCCAAAAGCAATGACCAAATAAATTTTAAGGAAAAGATGGGAGGAAAGGAGTGGGAAGAGAATTCATAAGATTCTTGAGACTTAAATCAACCAACTGCAGCGTTTGGATCTTGTACCTTGTATCTTTGTACCTTGATTCAAATAATCTATTTTTAAAAATATGAAAGACGGTAAGGGAAAATTGAATATTGACTGGATATTTGATATTAAAGAATTTTTGAGTGATAATAGATGGCATTTAGTAATTTTTTTTTTTTTTTTGAGACAGAGTCTCACTCTGTTGCCCGGGCTACAGTGCCGTGGCATCAGCCTA